GCACAGCACGGCGGGGCACAACGGCGAACCGAGCACAGGCATCGGTACGTACAGCGTTCGGCGGCAGCGTCCAGGAAGACAATTATGCCCCGATTTTCGAAACTTCAAATTTATAAGCAGGCGCTTAAGCTGGCTCGAGCCTTGACGACAAGCACTCCGGGCAGGGTGACAACCTCACAGTTTCCTGGTATACCGTTGAACAATCCGATTACCTGAACCTTTCAATAGAAGTGGAGTGGCGAGCGATTCCTAAGGGACGAGGAGCAGCTGGAACTACTTTAACTGTCGCTCATTACATCTAAGCAGAGGGAGCACTGCTCTTCTGGTCACGTCACGTCGTGGCCGGGCTGCGCTCCCCGTGCGCGGGGGTGGTTCGCAAAACTCCGAGCAACGTTCACAGCATAAACGCTCAGTCCTTCACTTGACTCGCCAACTACGACTTATTACACTATGTTACTAACCGGTGAGTCCAGCGGTCGCCAGCAGCAGCAGGGTGGTAGTAATCCAGCTCGGAGCCATCGCGGCTTGCGGTCGTCGTCACGTCGTTCTGGAGGGGGACGTCACACCTCGTCACGGCGGTCACTGGCAGGCACACGGTGCGTCACGTTCGTGTCATGGGCTCCCGTGCACGTGCGGGTGCACTGGAGTTCGCGGCCCTAAAGTTCCCGTCCCTTCCCGCACGTCCGTCCCCGGCGAAGCTCTGCATCAGACTGACGGCGACGGGGCTCGCCCTCGCCCTCGCCTCGCCCCTCGCTGGCGCGCTCGGCCGCCCGGCCCTGGCGCAGCTCCTGCAGACCCCTCCCCCTACCCCAAGCGGAGGAGCCCGGGCCCGGGCGGGCGGCACCGCACCGCACCGCACACCAGCCTCCCTGCGAAGGACGCGCGGGGAGGAGGGGGTGGGGGGAGCGACAGGGTGACAGTGTCGCCAGCCACCGGCTGGGCCACCGGAGGGGAGGGGCCCGGCCCGGCCCTCCTCCCCCGCATATCTTTTGGCCAAGGCGGGGCATGTTACAGGACATCCAATATTTCGTACAGCAGGGGGGCGTTGCCAAAGTCCGTCCGTCCGTCCGTCCGTCCGTCCGTCCGTCCGTCCGTCCGTCCGTCCGTCTGTCTGTCTGTCTGTCTGTCTGTCTGTCTGTCTGTCTGTCTGTCTGTCTGTCTGTCTGTCTGGACCATGGGTGTGGGCAAGTGGCTGGACACCCGATATACTGTACCCGGCGTGCACTCCGTACACCGTGCCTTCCCCTGCATACTGCTCAACTCTTCTTCGCTCTCTTCTCCCCTTCCTTCTTTCCTCCTCTCCCCTCCCACGGTTGTATCGTTCGCATCTGGTCGCCCGCTCTGTTCACTTTATTGTACCATCGTTCTTTGGTTCATTTGTTATTCGAGTCCTACCAGTACTGCTCGTACTACACTGCTGTGCAACCACGCGGGTATACCCGGGTAGGTACGCGGGTGCTGCATTCGTGGAAGCTCGTGCAGGTAGCTCGTAAAGCCGGTAAAGTCTTGCGCTGCACGCAAACCAGCCTCAGAGCCGTAAAATCATCACGTCAAATACAGTACATTATCATCGTCACACTTTTTTCTGTCTTGTGGTACAGCATTATATAATGTGAATCGTTTTATATTCTCCGACTGTCCACTTATCATAAGTAGGCCAGATCAAAGGCTTCCAAGGGCCTATGCTGCCTCTGCCATGTGCACATTCTGTGTCTTACACAGTTTTAGTGGGTGGTTCAGTCACGCACCTACAGTACTCTCGGAGCACAAAAGAGGAAAGAGTTAATTAAATTTCAATTCGAATAATATTTTGGTGGTAATTGGTGATGACAATTGGTTGAGTGTAATGCGTTTTGCACCCCTTTCTTTAGCGCTGTCTATAGAGTTTCTTAAAACCCGAGGCCAACGTTTAAAGACACTCAAGTGTAGATTTATTTACTTTCTGGATTCTCCGCGCTGGACGACGACGCGAGGACCTCCTCGGAAACGCCATCTTTTCATAAAAGATGTCCCACCTGAAGCGCTTGACACGGTCAAAAATGATGGAGTCTACGACGCCCTCCGCTGAATGAGTCAGGGGGGTAGAGAATAAAGGCGCACATTGCCTCCTGTAATAGCCGTGGCATGCGTGGCGAGGCGCTCCGCGACGCCAGCTTTTGTCTTGGACAGACACTGCAGCTCTTTTGGGGGGCGCGGGCCATAAATCTAACAGGTGCAGCGGAGCTTGCTTGCGGGGTGAATGCGACGCGTCGTGTGCGAGGTGCATTCCCCCCCTCCTCCCCCTTTTCCTTCCAATGACTGTCTCGCTCAAATTATCACATTATCACGCGCGCGAACCGTTCAGCAGAAAGGTGCATCTGTGACTTTTGCACCGTGATTGACACGCCTGACAGTGTTTCTGCCAACAATAAATAGCACCTTGTGTAGGGCTATGATACGTCGCGCGTCGCGTTCTCCTCACTGCATTTTCACGTAGGCCTGCAGGCATAAAACTCCAACCGCAAAGGTGAGGTGGCCCCGCGCACTGTATACTGTACCGCATGCAGGCGTGCAGGCGGGTTGCCTATCCCAGTCGTTGACCACGCCTTTCTGCAGTACACACGTGCACTAGATCTAGTACTAAGGGGTCGTCCACATATTACGTCACGCGTTTGGGGG